TCTAAGGGTTCTCTATAAACGCTATCATTTTTTGTAGTTTGTGAGCTACACTGCACACAGTACTGAAAACCTAAGCTGACACAGCTATGTTAACGCTAAGAGATCTATATTACTAGATCCCTTGGCGTACGACAAAGTTTATGTAATGCTTAAACAGAAATGAAATGGCTGGAGGTGTTCTGGGTCTAGTGAGCTAATCGCTGTTGTTTATATTCCATATATCTGCAGGGAGAATAATTAATCTGGACACACACTTACACACACCTTTCCTTGCCGTTTACCCCCGTGGCTACACTAAGACAGGTTAATGGGTGCGATGAGAGTTTGAGAAGCAACATTTGGCCACACTTTCCAACAAACATGAATCTGGAGTCACAGCTGTGGGGTTACCCTGAACATACAAACACGCACACTTACAAACTACAGTTGCTGACACATCGTTTAGCCAGCCAGCACCGCTGATGGTTCCCCTTGAGAACAAGAATGGACAATGCACAGAAAGACAGTTTCTGCCTTGGGTTTCATTAGCTCTGAGTGTTAACGTAGGGGGGTTTATTTAGAAGACGGGCTTGCAGAATGACATGCTTGCCGTGCCAGATGTGACCTATGCCACTGGCCTGTAAAAAGCAACTAAACTTGTAAAAGGCAACTAAACTGGACACAATGAACAAGCTGCCATCCTCACGCAATCCTTGTCCTACTGTATTGACACAGGCGCCAACGTAAAGACGTTCAGATAACATCTCTATGATGAATGGCCTAGCTTGTCATGAGCTAGTGATGATTACGCAGACTTTCAGCATGATTTTAAAGCAGGTCACTGGTAATGGTTACACAACTATTTAAATACACACAAATGGGTTAATTGGAAAAATGTGCCTCTGTCTATCTAGCACTCCAAAAGCGAACCTATACTTTATAAACACAATTCACTGCAGTTTCCAACTGAAATGAACACCAGTGTCAGTAAAACAACAACTTTTATTCCGTTTCACACAAATTATAATTACAATTATCAATTAATAAATACTATTTTTATATGATTCCTTGCACAATACTATGTAATGAACTCAAAACATATTAACATAGTGCATGATTTGTAAACTAATACATTTTGATGTTTGCATCACATAACCAGCTCCATATGTATGGCTTTTTTGATGTAGTAAACTTGCTCAGTAGCGCACCTGGTACAGCATTGCACTTGCGATATGGAGTGCTTAGGTACAAATCCCGTGAAACACAAGTTACGATAAAGAGACTTAAAGACTTATACAAACAAGATAAAGTGGCATGGTGAGTTTTTATTGATGATACATTATTTTTTAAATGTGTTAGAGTATTAATCTTTTAGTGCCACTCACCGGACATTTAATTTCTGAACTGATGTGTGATAGGTATAACAACCACTGCAAGAAAACTATGCCAGATTCACATTCACCTGTTTAATATAAAACTAAAGACTCTTTTAGCACCACTCTAAAAGTGTTGTGAAACATGCAAGAACCAACATAAAAAAGTTTTGCAGAAATGTCACCACAGGCACGCTTTCTCAAAGAACCTGGGTTGGGTGCAAAATAAAAGCTCCTGTAAAGACCTCAATCTTCTTCAAAAGATCAATCAAATCTGCAACAGTAACATCAATTTTAACTTTCATTCCTACAGCTTGCACATTAAGCGTTCATCTTTCTATTAGTGGTCCATCTCATTTGGAAGCCCGTTTCCAAAAAGTAACTGCGACCTTATCTCTCACACTTCATTTTTGGCAATTACGATTTTATATAATAAAATGTGTTATTTCCTATTTATTCTCACAGTTACCTTTTTGTTTTTTACTCAGAGGTGAAAACAGGTTTTTACAGTCTCCTCCTACTATACTGACACTGAGTGAGTGTAACTTACTTCTCCTTCCTTCTATCCCACACCCACGCCTTCCACCCCACTTGTGAAACATCAGTTTCTCTTCGCACTTGATGTGGCTCTGAAAATTGCAGAGCTGTTAGCTAGACACATATGTCTCCTTCAACCCTAAGAAAGGCCATTTTGAGGATGCCACGGCAAGACAGCATGACATGATAACTACGGTCTCCTCTTCTTTACGGATGGGATACGCAAGTTACTAAAAATCATCTAAAAGCCCCTTGTTAAGGATGGTGTAAGGGAACTCTGAGAGAAAGAACATGGTGTCTGTGAAACCGTAGCGGTCTGAAAGCCCCCTGAGGACGGCTCTTCGTTAGATATCCATGCTGTCCAGTGTGGGTTAGTGCTTGGGTCAGGCTTGATTGCATTCATAGATAGCTGCGGTGGAGAGATTCTCATCTCTTATCTTTCCTGTGTGTGTGTGTGTGTGCGTGTGTGTGTGCGTGTGTGTGTGCATAGCTCCCAGGCTTTCTCGCCCTCACTTCACCTCATCTTCTCTCCCTCACTTTCTTTGTCACCTTCACACTTTTTCCTGAATAGATTCTTCTCTCCTTTCGTGTTCTCTGTTTATTCTCTCCTTCTCTTGTAGTCTTCACATTAAATCTCTACTCTCATTTTCCCTCTTTGTTGCTTGTCTAAAATCCCTTTCCTTCTCGCCCATTATTATTAGTATGTATTTCATAAGAACAAATATTTCATATTAAAGCTTGGGAACATTTTACTACTCTGCTGTATCACTCCATCTGTCTTTGTTTTGCAATACTGTAACCAAACTATCTATCTATCTATCTATCTATCTATCTATCTATCTATCTATCTATCTATCTATCTATCTATCTATCTATCTATCTATCTAATGCATGCATCCATAGTGACATTAACCTATATTGCTTGCTGAAAATATTGTTTATTGTGAATTCTGTCTTTCTACTGAATTGTCTTCTATCATATTGCTGTTGCTGGCATTTTATAAAAGCAATAAGCCACTTGTAATGCGTGTTAAAGTGATTTAACCATGGTTAAGTGGTGTTCTTAAGCACAGGGCAGAGTAAAATCACTATAACACACAGTCTCTTGTGGCTAAATGCTTTAAATATATATATATATAAGCAGCTAAAGTTGAAGATGTCTATTCTGAAATCAGTTTAGCCATCTGAGAGCTCTACAAAACTCACAAAATACACTGTGTATCTTTAATTAGACATTCTGCTGTACTGCTGCTTCTAGCGATTCAGCCCACAAGCTGCGGATGTGTGTGAAACCTGCTCTAATCCACAGCTTACCTCTCCAAATGTAGCAGCAGCAGCAGCTTGAAATGAGTATAATCTCATTTTAAACGGTTACATTCTTATAATCATCCCACATTTGAATACCTGCACACCTGTTTCAACACCTGTGTGTAATCATTACTTTTACTTGTATGTCATAAACACGCAGATCAGATGGTGCTGACAAGGCTTTCAAATCAGTTTCCTTTTCTTTTTTACCATCCATCACTCTTCCTATTGCTTTTCACATTCTTTCCCTTGCTTTCTCACTGTCTCACTGTCTGTCTTTAATTGATAAGGTTGATGTACGCTTTGCAGAGTTTGTGTAGTCACAACAAATTCCCATGTCCTGGACTGCAAACAACAGTATTTGTTGTTCACACAGGATCTGGTGGCCCACCCATGCTGATAAACTAAGAGGGTTTTCTGGAGGAACACACCCAGCGTGGGGGCGCCCATCCTGGCCGAGTGTGTCGAGTCGATATGTTTCAGACATCTTTGCTCTCTCCAGAGGAACCTTATTTCCAATCAGACACATCAAGAAGATGAGTTTAGGAAAACCAGCACTGAGATAATGGAATACTGTGGGAGACTTATTGATGTTATTGATGAGCCAAAGTGTGTGGAGGTGCAACAGGGGGGATGGGAACCCAGAGGAACATCTATTGCCCCGGGGTTGCTCTTTTATAGCTCAGGAGTTCTCAATTGCATTCTGTGAAGTATCAACTTTGTTTCTGATTTTTTTCTGACCTAAAAGTGTGCGTGTATATATATATATATATATATATATATATATATATTTATTTATTATCAGTTTTTTAATTAGCTTTCTATTCGTCAAAGAATCCTGAGAATTTAGTTTCCACATTTTTTTTAAGCAGCACGACTGTTTTCAACATTGATAATAATCAGAAATGCTTCTTGAGCAGCAAATCAGCATATTATACTGATTTCTGAAGATCATGTGACACTGAAGACTGGAGGAATGATGCTGAAAATACAGCTGCACATCACAGAAATACATTACAGTTTAACAATATTTTTTTAATTTAATAATATTTCACAATATTACTGCATTTACTGTATTTATTACACTTTTTAATACTTTGATATTTTGAAAAGTCACAGTTTGTGACATTATTGACATTTGTGCAAAAATGTCCATTTGCTCAACATATAATCTCATTGCGTCTAGGAATAACAATTGAGATATTAAAGAGATCTCTTTGCCATTTTTTTCCCTTTTCTATGGGAATGACTACACACAAATGCACAATAAAGATGAAAAGAACATCCATCTCATCCTGAGGTCACACTCGGGGTAGCCCAGGGTCAGTATTCGGCCATGATGTGCACTGCACCTGTCCGAGGTTACGCAAACATGCTTTCTCTCGAGTCTCTAGCCCTACCTCAAACACAGGAAACAGATCTGAACAACAGGAAATTTCTGCTCATTGCCGTGACATCTCCAGATAAGAACGACGGTCTCTCTGTGTGCATCTGTGTGTCTCTGTAGGCCAGACAATGCCAGACCGATAGACCCTGAAGGTCTACAAGTCCGCGTTATCAACTGATCTTTTCTCCTCAAGCAGCTTTCCCACTGGGCCTCACGAAGAGACAACAGAAAGTGCTCTCCCTCGCTTGCATCGGTCCTTATATGGTTGTTGTACTTTCCTACAGTAAATTCCTAGCTTGTATGCATTCTTCTTATTATGAAATGATAGTTACGGCTCTAAAATATGATTGGATGAGCCACTTTGGGGCCATTGTAGGTGATATTCGCCTATCACTTTCTTTTTTCTTTCTACTAACCCGTTTTGAAGATCTCGTAACGGATGGAGAAGCCAGCACCATGAGTCTCATAGTCAGACACAAACTTGATGAAGAGCTGGTTCCCAGAGGAGACCACAGGAGAGGGAGCGATCTTCCCACAATACTTCCCAACCAGCTGCCCGCTCTCATCCACTCCATCTCTCACTTCCACATAGTCATATCTGCACAGAGAGAGAAACACAAAAATTCATTCAGCTAAACTATTAACACTATACACTTTTTTGTACAGAATTTAGCAGGTTAGATCTTATAGACAGTTTGTTTCAGTAAACCGGTTCTAAATGTCTTTACTTACATTTATAATATTATTATACATATTTTTACTTTAAAAACAATGACTAAGTGCTAGTTATTTGAAAATTACATTACAATTGTTAAAAATTGTTTTAAGATAATAAAAGATAATATTTATAATGCATTTTACATTATATTTGTTCAGCATTTTCCCTTTTTAAATGTTGTCAATGACCCAAATATCAACATTCAAAAACAAAAGACATGTGCAATGAACTGGTTCAGAACAATCATTTAATTTATTTATTTGAATCTTTGATTTCGGTAATGTTCCTAAAGTGTTCTTGTGTGGTATTTTATGCGAGTAAAAAAAAACAAAAAACAATATGGTAACACTTTAGTATAGGAACCAATTCTCACTATTAACTTGTTGCTTATTTGCATGCCTATTATTAACATTTTGGCTGTTAATTAGCTCTTATAAAGCATTCTACATCCCTAATCCTACCCAACACACACACACACACACACACATATATGCACAGTGACACTTAAAATAATCTACATTCACAAAAGCAGACAAATTGCTGAATGACAGAAGATGGTGATACTCTTTACATGTCCGTTTGACAGTATGTGAGTAGAACAACAGTTATAGTATGAGAAAAAACAGGTGTCGCCTCCACACACACACACACACACACACACACACACACACAGCCTATTATTAACATGTTGGCAGTTAATTAGTTCTTATAAAGCATTCTACATCCCTAATCCTACCCAACACACACACACACACACACAAAAACACACACACACACACCAGTTCTCCTCAAAATAGAATTTCAACCCTAAAGCTATTGGCTTATGCTGCCACATAATTGAGTCGGCGACAGTTTGGAAGACTGTTGCAGAAACAGCAGTTTCTTGCACACACAAAAACCCATGTGCACACACATACGCACTCTAATATTGTGTCTGTAATACAAGACGGGATTGGGTGGGTGGTCCTGCCTCAGCTAGCGAACGAGATGGGATGAAAAACTAAAGCTGATGTGAATTCTCTTCTGTTTTAAGTCTGTTTGGACAATTCGCTCCGCATACTGATATAATAATGGTGAATATCAATTGGGGTAGGCTCAGCATGGAATATGATTGACAGCAAGGTCTTGTTTCCATGGCATTTAATCACCCCTGACACATGTAACCGCAGGAACGACGGGAGGATAGGAGAGCAAAGCATCATGGGGAGTAGAACGTTCTATTTCTTTTCAAAGAATCGCAGTTTGGTTTCTCCAAGCTTATTAGGGATGCATAACCAAAATCTTGCTTGTGCATAATATAATTTAATTTCATGTTGAGAGGAGTATTGAAATACTGATATATATATATATTATTAATGTGCGTTACAGCATAAATATGCAACAGAAGACCTCCCTGCTCAAGAAAATGGTATATTCCACCTGCCACGCATTACACGAGGAAATGTGTGAAAATTTAACGACGGTATCGCAGACAGCAGAATGTGTGTTAGTGTGTCCAGTGGGGTTATGGAAGGCGTTAAAATTGGGGCACATCTCATACTGTGCATTCAGTGATATAAAGGTTGGGATGGAATATGAGAAGTGTGCCGGTCTCTGAAATTGGGTCCCCTGAGGGGGCGGTAATGTAGAGATGACTTCACCCGTGTCTCTCCGCTTGGCTGGCCTGATGGAAGGGGCCTAGAACTCCATCAGTCACAGCAGAAGAGAGTGCCACCGCTGTAACGCTATATATACACTGAAGACGCATTTAAACTGGCAGGTAAAGAAAGTCTACACCCTCTGCAAAAACGCCACACAACTGCACAACATGCAAATATGTGAATGATTAAAGTAATTTGCGAAAATTCAAATTATAAAAAAAAGGGAAAACAGAGGACCCTTCTACACCTTTATGACTGTTTGTGTATGTTATATAGCAATAAAAGCAGGTATTTTAACCGGAGCTTAACAAACCAGGTTGTCTCGAATCAGATATTTAACCAATCGTGCTGAGAACCTCAACTTCCTAACTCAACAAGGTTCCTAAGCAGTAGTAATTTCCCCTCATTTACTCTCTCCCTGTGTTTCTCGTAAATTCTCAGATTCCATATTTGGGCCTCTGCATGGAAACATCTTACCCTGTTGCTAATGAGCTTCATCTAAACAAAATGTATGTTCCACTGCATCTTTACATGTGTAATGCAGCAGTTCAGACATGAAGAACTTTTACATTTTGTAGAGGGCTCCTTTTTTCTGTGCTGTCGTATTTCATATTGCTATTGCTAAGATAAGTCATCAATATTTGTGGCCTTTAAAGACATTTTAATTTTTAGGCGCATACATATGGCCTCAGAGCTAAGTGACATGACCTAAATGCCAAGGGGTGTTCGACAACTACATTTAACTTCCTTACCTACTTTTTTTTTAAATCATTTCACAAAGTAATATCTTCAAATCTTAATCCAGTGGTGAGATTAACAAATTGTTCTTTAATCATGCAACTTGTAATCATGTAAAGATCTACTTAAGAACATCTGAGCTGGAAGAAAATGGAAATGAGCAACAAGATTTTCTCAGCTGTGACGGTTCACCGCAGAAAACAGAAATTTCAATATTGGGAAACCTGTTCGGTGTGGAAAGCTGGGGAGATCTTTGCCCAGAAAGATCTTCATCATTCTTTTGTCAGAAATTAGTTTGAAAGATCTTGAGATTTGCTAATGCCTTCTGTGCTTTACTGCAACAAGGGAAGAGGTTTGCAACTACTTTATTCCTAATTGATTTGGCTTACTCCTTCTTCTAAGCTGCATTTATCCACCTGTAGCTCACACATCCCTGTAGTGTTTTTATTTGAATATTTCACTTTTTTTCATCCTGTCCATCCTTCTGCCTCCTCCATGTCCTCACTTTCTAACACTCTCTTCCTTTTCTTCCCTACTTCATCACTCTCTCCTCCCCTCATTGATAAGCTCTCACTGAGTGGCGAAGTGCCTAGACTTTCTGAGAGAGAGACGGAGAGCAAGAGAACGAGGAGGACATGAATCAAACCAGTGACAGAACAGCAGGGAGGACAGCAGATGTCACTGAGAGAGAGCTTTTTAATCAGCCTGTCCTTCCAACACACGGGCCAAGGTGAAGTGCTTTAGCGGCGGAAAACACCTTGCCCTGACACACGTATGCAGAAAGATGCACACTGCTTTAATCTTTCTCATTAGCCGGACCACTTTACAACCTCAAGTTCCTCAGTGACATGCGAGAGGGCTAGAGGGGAGAAAGGAGAAAATTAGGTGATGAAATGCATGCCAAATACATGACTGTTGAAAATATAGAACAACA